GGGGCCTAGGCCTGCCTCTTGGCCCCAACCCAGGGACCCTATAGCTGGCAGCTGCTCACTGCCTCTCCTTCTCCTCTGCCACTACCTGCTGTTCTTGGGTCACTTCCCCATAGCCCCAGCACCTACTCGGCCCCTGTATCAAGGCCACAGTCTGGGAGCCAGCCAGACTGGAGCTCCACTTGCTCTCCTGACCCTGCCCAGCACTGCTCTGTCCCAGGTACTTCTCTCTACAGGCAGCCAGTCCTTCGCCCTCAAGCTGCAAGGAGAGATGCAGCTCATCTCTGCCCTGCAGCCTTTCTTATACAGCCCAGCCTGGCCCTGATTGGCTGCTTCTAAGCCTTCCTCTGATTGGCTGGGTTCTGCACTGCCACTCTAAGTGCTGCTATTAACCCTTTGCCAGCCAGTGAGGGCAGTTGCCCCATCACACCCCATTATCACATCTACCTGGTTATTTTAGTTCATTCATGATTTTCCTACTGCTTAGGGAGTTCTTTGGCTGTCAGATCCTGCCCCGCCCCCCATCTCCAGGTTGATGACTCATTTAACACGACGAACAAGTGAGCTCAAATAACAAGACAAAGTGGGCACCTATTCATTTTATTTATTTATTTGGTAAGCCGCACAACCTGTTCATTCTCCAGTGACTCTCAAGCAGGCTGAGACCCCTTATATTATTAATCTTGTCAAGCCACATTAGTAATGTTTTCTAGAAGTCCTCTTCAGCTGTTTTTCTGGCCATCCTATTGAACAAAAGGGTTATAGACTGCTCCCCTACTCTCAGGAATACCTTTTCCTTTCATCTGATCTCTGTAAAGTGTACAATATTAAACTGACCATCTTCATTAGTACTTAATATCACTGCAGTTACTGTCCGACAAGTAAAAAGGGATATTTAGTGGGATTTATTTGTTTAACTTCCAGTTTGACGTTCTGTTGCCTGACTTTTGTTTTATTGTAAATTGAGAACAAGTAATTGGCAAACAGTTAAAATAAGCAAGGAAGTTTGTACTTTTATAGGAAGGAGTACAGCAATTTAAGTCTATATAAATTCTCATAAACTGCATTTAACTTCTTAAAGGACTTGCTTTATGACACATTAAATAGTTTATTTTACGGTGATTAAAAATAATAGTATGTGGTATGATATCCCTGCAAATCGGTTATTTACATAGTATCTCCACTTAAGACAATGACAGACAATAATTAAGAGTTTATTCCTGTGTATGCAAATGAACTTTATCTCTAGTTTTACTTTTTGTGTATCATACTAATCTCTGAGCCAAATCACACAAGCCATGTACTTCACTTACTACTTATTTGTAGCATTTTAGCTGGAAAGAATTTCAGATACTATTTCATGATCATTACATTCATCATACAAGTGGCAACAACATTTCTGTTCACACCAAGTGAAGAGGGCAGAAAATGGACACAATAAGCGGAGAAAGGGTGGTGCTGCATATTTTATTTATAACATCCGTACAGCTGTAAGCATAACTGGCTAATTAAGCTTGCCTAGTAATCAGTCTGACTTGTGCTTATAGCCACGTATTATGTGTGTGTTTATTTGGGTATTCTATTAAAAAAAAAAAAAAAGGGTGGTTCCCGTGGTACACACATGCTACTTTGGAGGTTCATACAGCTCCAAAGTGTATTGTAAATATTAGTAATTTTTTCTGGAAAGCTGCCAGAACTTTAAATAGGCAAAGGTGTTTTCCCATTTTCAGATTTATTTTATTTTTTAAAAAGTGGAATATACAAGTGGGACGAGGGATTAGACAATAGCTGCCTTCAGCTAACTCTCTTTTGCATTGTTAGTTTTCACTTCATTTTATTTTAGCCAATTTTAGGCTAGTATTTCAACACACTAGTAGCAGTATCATTTCCAAGAGTAGGTGGGGTCTGCTATTATTTATAAAGCCTCTTCACAGTGTGGTTACTTTACTGATCTAATTACTGAACTAACCACTTTCTTATAACTAGGGCAACTCAATTTAAAAAATAATGAATAGTTAAGTCTGTCTTAAATTTTTTCTTGTGGTGCTGAGACTCCATGCTAATCCTTACCTGTCACACATTCACGAACCTATAGTGCACACCAGCAGGATCTACACAGACCAATGAATGCACAACACATTAGTGTGCTTTAGAAATCATGGCCCCATAGTGCATATTACAGCATCATGTGGACAAGCCCTTTGTTTCATAAAAGTGAGATGGTAAGCAACATATTATTCTGTTTCAACTAGACAATCTTTTCAGTTCTGCACTAATATCAGACAGGTAAGCATTAGCAGGTATAGTAGAACCTCCTTTACAAAAACCTTCGGGAATAGAGGCTGTTTGTAACTCTGAAATGTTCATAAATCAGAACAAAACATTATAGTTGTTCTTTCAAAAGTTTACAGCTGAACGTTGACATAATACAGCTTTGAAACATTACTATGCAGAAGAAAAATGCTGCTTTCAACCATCTTAATTTAATTGAAACAAGCACAGAAACAGTTTCCTTCCATTGTCAAGCCTTTTTTTTTATGTTCACTTTTTTAGTAGTTTACATTTAGCACAGTTCTGCACTGTATTTGCTTTGTGTGTGTGTGTGTGTGTGTGTCCTTGCTGCTGTCTGATTGTGTACTTCCTGTTCTAGATGAGGGGTGTGGTTGACCTGTCAGTTAGTAACCCTGGTGTTCCGAACTCTGAGGTTCTACTGTAGTCTCAGCACCATAAGTGCATCATTTAAGATGACCTTACTTATTCATGATTTTTTATCTTGAGTTTATCATCTCCAAGATTCTCTGTGGTTAAGGTGTTCGCTCAGTTTTATTTTGTAGTTGTTTGGAAAAAGCCCATAGTGTCAGTACAACAACCATAACTGCAGGGAGGGAGAGAAATTTAGGACTTACCTAAATAGGTGGTCCAAAATGAGGGCGTTCGTAGAATCCTGAACATCCCAGTTTGGTCCTACTGAATCTAAACATAGTAACTGCCTTTAAAAACTGAGGGGCACTTCTTTGCCATTATAACCTTTGCAGTTATGAGATGTGTACTCTCCAATGACTAGCAGTCATCTTGTCATTAAAAAGCAAAGCTCATTTGCGATCTGAGAGTTGTGAAGAGGTGACCTAGGGAGCATGTTAAAAGTTCAATAACTTGTAGACATCCGGACATGCTAATAAAATAAGTATTATAGTTTATAAGAACAAAAGGTATCACTAAAACCGTAAACAAACTTGATATTGTGTAAACCAAACCTCATATCAGTCTAACTTAAGGTGTTTCTATAGCGTCTATCAACACAGAATGTAAGTGGTGTTGGAAGTAAGGCTTCTTAAAAGTAACTTCACTGTTCCCTCATGCTCTTAGGCATTCGCAAGGAAAAAAAGTTCCAAATGCTAACAATTGTCCAACAGAAGCTTCCAAAATACATAGTTCAAACAAGGAATGTTCTGTTTTAAAAATGAATTAGACACCGATAAACACTGCAACATATTTATTAACATATTTTAATCGAAATGTTAGGAATCCCAATTGCTGCTCTGGAGGAATGCGCTACACAGTGGTACAAGAGGGAAGGAAGTCCATGTCAGTAATTGCAGAACTAATCCACATTACTTCTTGCTTTACATGGAAAATTCTTCCAAAATTTAGTGTGTCAAAGGCAGTTTGAACTGGTTTTGGTATTTTAAATACTTTATTGGCTGGGCACAGAAACAGGAAAAATTAAGTAAAAGGAGAAGGTAAAATTGGTCAGTATGACAGTGCCAAGAACTCTAAAGTTTATAAGAAAAAACCGTTTCGGTGTACGGTAGTGGAAATTGGGTTGTCTTTTTGTAATCAAAATGTACTTGCAATTTCCTTTCCTCTTGGACTTTCCAGACTAAAGTATAAACCAAGTGTCTACACCCTCCGAGCGTTAGTGATATGGAAAGTTGGAAGGGTACAATCTCTGGGATGGGGTGTAGGGGAGGTTAATAGAAAAAAGTGCAGTTTTGTGTAGAGAAAACTGTCTGATTTCACAGGATAACATTAAATTTCAGATTTCATAAGCACATGTTTTAATGGCCAGTATCAGACAAATCGTGCTTGAGGGGGAAAAAAATCCTTCGTGATCTCTTTCTCCTAAAGTCCCTGTGTGTTCGTTTCCCTTCTCCCTCTGCTGCTCTCAGCAGACTGGCTTGCAACCTTTGTCTGATATCAGACCAGCAGGCTCTAGCCAAGACCCTCTCCTCACTTGCCTTCTGCACTCCCTTCTCTACTTCAGTGAGATTGATCACTTGATAGCATTTCAGACTTTTCCCTGTGTATGTTCAGTAAGGAAAAACCTAGCAGGCCATTTTAATTTCAGTTTTTTCCTACAGAGGTTTCATGTTTATCACAGCAAAAAGTAAGTTTAATATTTTCTGTGACAGCTCTGAAAATAATAGTTATGAGAAGACAGATTAATTTAAAATCCACTTAAGAGGTACCAAAATGTACACAAATGATCAGCCAGCTAGTGTGTGTTTTGTTTTTAGAATAGTGGTATCCTCTTGCCTGTGTGTTATAACTGCTCTACGGTGTGGGGAGGAGTTCTCTAAAACCTGGCTCCTTCTAAGAGAACCACATGGATGAATCCCCCCACCCACACAATGCGCCACTGATTTCGGTGGGGCTCCACGTGAGTGTGGGGGCTTGCCCGTGTGCATTGCATAGCAGGATCAGGGCCTAAGTCCTTCCATTTTTTATTTTCCTCTCTGGTTGAGAATTCATTTACATCTGCTGCTCTAATATTTTAGTAGGTGCAACTGAACAAATTTTAGTTAATAACACTGGCTCATTATTTAGACTAGATGTTGCTGTTCGTCTTTGCCTTGTGTTCCTTTAGACCCATCATTCACTGAGCAATGCTCTTAAAGAAACCAGAGATGGTGGTTGATGCATGTGTAAGTATACCAGTCAGATGTAAAACAGTTTTGTTTTCTTGTGTCTAATAGTATATTTTGTGGTGTATTTTGTTTCAGACTGAAAGAGGCTCAGCAATTCGTAAGCAAGTTAACTGAAGAGAAAAAGGTTGAAACAAAGAAAATCAATCCCATGGCTAGTCTGGTATGATATATTCTTCAGCCATAACCCACTGAGAAACTGTGCTTTGCATTTCTCGTCGAAATGTTGCTAGTAGCATGCATGTTTAATCAGTGGGAAAGCAGCAAACTGATAATTGGTCCAGGGGGAAAATCTTTAAGGTCTCGCCTACGGTGGTGTAACAACTGAGTTTAGAAATGGGGTTTAAACCTTATTTAAAGCCTCTTGTGGCCAACTCTGGCTGTAACATGGTTTGAACAGCAAAGTATGGAAGAAGCCACTATTCTTGTCTCTTTCTCACAGGTCTCTGTGCCTTTTTCCCTGCCACCCTTTAGAATGCTCTATCCAGACCTATTCAAAAAGCCCCCTCCTTGTTTTGATTCAAACCTCTCCTAAAGGCTCTCTTCTGACATCTCCCCTTGTTAAGTGAGGGGAGAATTTTTTTAAAAATTAACAGCCCAACATCATATCCTTTACCTTTGTCCTTTCTGGCCACTTCTTTGTTTATGACAGGTTTCAAAGTAACAGCCGTGTTAGTCTGTATTCGCAAAAAGAAAAGGAGTACTTGTGGCACCTTAGAGACTAACCAATTTATTTGAGCATGAGCTTTCGTGAGCTACAGCTCACTTCATCGGCTGCATACCGTGCAGCTTCCACAGTATGCATCCGATGAAGTGGGCTGTAGCTCACGAAAGCTCATGCTCAAATAAATTGATTAGTCTCTAAGGTGCCACAAGTACTCCTTTTCTTTGTTTATGAGCCTTATTTTTTGTTGTACCTTGTCAAATTTACACTGTGTTGTCTTTGGGCAGGAACTGAGCGTTATCTGTTTTTTGTGAGGCACTTAGGCTTGAGCAAAATTATCTTAATATGCATAGGCCTAAAGCATACTGGCCAGCGAAACCACAGCTAAGAATCATGTTTGGCCACAATAACCATGCTTAAGAATAGTTTTTAAACTGTGTTGTTACATAGGTCTAAAACTGATCAAGAATATGGGATGTAGTAAATAGGATGAAATTCAATAAGGACAAATGCAAAGTACTCCACTTGGGAAGGAACAATCAGTTGCACACATACAAAATGGGAAATGACTGCCTAGGAAGGAGTACTGCAGAAAGGGATCTGGCGGTCATAATGGATCGCAAGCTAAATATGAGTCAACAGTATAACACAGTTGCAAAAAAAATCAAACATCATTCTGGAATGTATTAGCAGGAGTGTTATAAGCAAGACATGAGAAGGAATTCTTCCACTCTACTCCGTGCTGATTAGGCTTTAATTGTGTCCAGTTCTGGGCACCACACTTCATGAAGGATGTGGACAAATTGGAGAAAGTCCAGAGAAGAGCAACAAAAATGATTAAAGATCTAGAAAACATGACCAATGAGGGAAGATTGAAAAATTTGGGTTTGTTTAGTCTGGTGAAGAGAAAACTGAGGGGGGACATGATAACAGTTTTCAAGTACATTAAAGGTTGTTATAAGGAGGAAGGAGAAAAATTATTCTCCTTAACCTTTGAGGATAAGACAATAAACAATGGCTTTAAATTGCAGCAAGGGCAATTTAAGTTGGACATTAGGAAAAACTTCCTAACTGTCAGAGTGATTAAGCACTGGAATAAATTGCCTAGGGAGGTTGGAGATTTTAAGAGCAGGTTAGACAAACAGCTGTCAGGGATGGTCTAGATCAGGGGTGGGAAAACTTTTTGGCCTAAGGACCACATCTGGATATAGAAATTGTATGGCGGGCCATGAACACTCACAAAATTGGGGTTGGGGTTGAGGGCTCTGGCTAGGGTGGGGGCACCGGGTGGGGCCAGAAATGAGGAGATCAGGGTGTGGGAGGGGGCTTTGGGCTGGGGTTGTGGGGGGCATGGCGGGGGCGAGCAATATATAATAATTCTCTTCTTCAAAATCTGATTAGCATTTTTGGTACGTTTCCATTCTAATAATTTTGGACACGTGGAAGTAAGTGGAATATTGTCACAAACTGCACTGAGATTTTTGTTTTGTTTTTTTAAAGAGAGAACATTCAAACATTTTAGATGACCTGTTAACTGTGTACTTCTACCTTTTCAAGATCAGAGCAACAGCAGCAACAATTGCTTTTAACTTGTTCTGCCTCAAGAAATTTCACTTCATTTCTCAGGAGACGCTTCCTTACTTCCAACTCTCAAAAAACCCTCCTGTCAATCAATGTAGCAATGCCCATGCAGCTGAGCAAATTAAGCTTTTTTTTCCTACTGCCCACAATGGGCTTCTATGAGGGTCAGCTTTGAAAGCAGAATGGAAGAAGCTATTAAAATCATACATTTGGTATGCACTATTTTGAAATGTTTCCAACTTTCTGCAGCAGCATTGATCTTTGCAAAATGTCTTGTTTGTATTTAAAGTGACTGACTCCTTAAAGACATATAGTACTAGTTAAATTCATAGACAAGCATGTATGGGGTCTGATAGTTGAGCATCGTGTGTTGAAAGAAATGACAAACTACAGAATAGATTAGAGATTTATGGTACGGCACTCGAGGAGTTAATTTTCTGGAGGAAAAAAAGGCTCCAGTCTACTATGACTGGTTTGCTACTCCTCAGTTCAGTGTTCTAGACCACATGCTTGTTGTAATTTGAGAACAGATGGAAAATTAAAGACAAGAATGATAATAAAGCTCTTTTTTCCTGAACAACAGAAAGAAAAACTACGTCAGAAGGAAGCCAGTGTGACCACTAACTGAAAGAAGATCCATGAAAATAATGACAGTGTGACTTAATACCTTGCATGATGCTTTACTATGCCCGTTCCCCAGGGAGCACCTTATGTTAATGTTATGGAGTTCTGCTTTTCTCATCTCTTTCTGAGACAATCCACTAAAGACTTTCCAATCCCTTATAAAGAGTTTGCTCATTCAGTAGAGGAAGCACTAAGAAGCTGTTTACAGGCGAATTTATGAAGGGTTTTATATAACTCTTCCTTACCTGGCTTAAAATGCAATTCTTTTCTAAATGGTTATTTGAAGTACTCTATGCATAGTGCACTAATGCGGAAAAGATAAAATCAGGATTTTGGATGTTGAATTAAGTAACAGTTAACAACCTCTATATTGCTTACTTTAGCTTCATGTAGATTACCACAGAGGTACAGTTCAACTCATGAGAGGCTATTCTATCATAAGAGTTTAGACCTCACTATTAACTGAGGGCAACATTGATTCTAAATCATGTTTGATAGTCTAAATAAGTATTAAATTCATTTTGTTAAAACTAATGCAAGTTTATTATAATTAATGTATTCTGTATTTTATTACAATTATTTTTATAGAAAACTCAGTCTATGCCATATGCATTGAAATAGGAATAATATTTTGCACATGTGGAGAGAGAAATAGCTTCAGATTCTGTTGTCTTATAATATGTAGATGATATAACTGGCAAATTATTTTTATGGTTTTGACTTGATGTTTCTTACATGTTCTTCATGTTGCCTGATTCAAAAAGACAAAGGACAGAAGCATTTTTAATTCAAATTATCGATGCCATAAGATAATTATTTGTCATCATTCATCTAACTGTAGTGCATAACACATCTCCATAAAGTCATATATTTACTGCTAAATTTCTGGCTTTAAATTCTATTGAAGCTCATATTCTTTAAAAATAAGCACTTCACTATAAAACATATTACACAGCCTTCTCTTGTCTCCCCATATATTTATATCTGTATGTATAAGACAAATATGTACTCTACTATGTTAGCATTTGAGGAGGAAGTAAGAGAATCTTGCTATCATCTTGTCATAATATAACCACTCTTTGTGAAGTATCATTTAGGGCCTGAACCCATGAACTGCTGAGTGCCCTGAGCTCCACTGGTATTTTCAGGCACTCATTACATCACAGGATCAGGTTCTTAGAAAGAGAGATCCTTGCAGCAGACAAAGTTTCAAGGTAGAATAAAAATAGTGAATATTAAAAATAAATAGAACTTTTGTTTTAGACCAGCAATAGACTGCAACTAAACACGCAGCTGGGTAGGGATCTTATAAAGAAAACTTTCCACAGTTACTAAATCGTAAAAACCTTCTGACTACTAGGGTCATTACAATATATGACCAATACAAACAAAATAATGATAAAGCAAAAAGTATAGGACATACAGTAAGGAAAATATTAATCCCTTGGCATGGTAGTTGAAAAGAATATACATGAAAGAAATATATTGGATTATCTACATAGCAAATGAGATGCAATAACAATAAGTATGAAGCAAGATTGATAAGGTGGTTGTATATTTATTAAAGAAAACAATAGTTGTATCACCCCTATTTATGTTTCTCATTTGGAGAGTCCTGAACAAATAGAGTTAAGGGAGGTAAGATAGCCTTATATATTTTGGAATTTGTAGCTGCTGTTGATAGACTTAATATGTGTAAATATGCTACCAATGAAAACAAATTGAATATGGATCAATGGAGGTAAATAGATTCATGGGGAGAAGGTGTTCCCTCAGTTAGCATGGAAATTTGCGAGAACATTCGAGCGCTAGCAATATGGTGGTACTATTTTTCCGATGGAAGGAAAGCAAATTCCAAAGTTCAAAATTTTCTGTCTTCCATCAAACCAAGCACAAACATAAGTGAAATGCATCTACTTTGGCAATCAGCATTAACGATGTACAATATAAGCGATATACAACATAAGCAATAGTGCTCATACAAACCAAAGATTAGAGAACAGCAGTAGGCAAGATGATTTTGATGAGTCTCTAAGCAAACTACTGTACTGAATATTGTTCTGTACCTGTCAAAAAATTCTGGAATATTGTAATTAGAGCTAGATGGGAATTTTCTGAGAAAACATTTTTCATCAAAAAATACAAATTAATCAAAACAGAAAATCTTCTTGGGAAAAGATTGCTTTCGACGTATCTCCTGGTGTGAAAAATAGTTTTGTAATTGTCAAAAATTTCCATTTCAACGTTTTTTAAATGAAATGTTTAAATTTGGGGTTCAAAATGACTTTTTGTTTAGAAATAGTGGTTAATTTATACTTTAAAAACATTAAATAAAAATTGAAACTAAATGTTTTAAACTTATATAAATGAAACCTTTCAATTGGTGCCATCTGAATTTTTTTCTAATTCTTGGTTCATGAAGTTTTTTGAGATTGTTGACATTTTGTCCCAATTTGGGGAGAAATTTTTTTTTCAAAATCTCAGAATTTCTCACGATGGGAAAACCAGTTCAGTTTTCCACCCAGTTCTAATTGTAATTATTTTTTTTCCCCTGAAGAGGGCGATTATGTTTCAAACTTCCACCCTTTTATTACTAGCGGGATTACTACTAGATTAAATGGGAAAGAACGTCTAGTTCATTTGATCCATTCCCCTGCTCAGGATTTAATGACTTTTGTAAGCCTTAGTCTAAGTGAATGGACATGACCAGCTAAACTGCATGCTGGTAGACCGCTGGCCAATATCCACAAGTGGCCAGAAACCTTTAATACTGGTGCCAGTATTATGAAGTTATTCTAGCAGAAAAGTGTCATTGGTGATTAATAGATATTATATTGAGGCTTGGCAGAATTCAATTTTTATTATTTTGAAGAATAATATTGCTGTTAATTTTAAGTATTATTTAAATTTTTATCATTGCAGGAAATGGGGGGGGTGCAGAGGAATCAGACAATTATTTAAATGAGAGTAAACGTATTTCAAACAGTTAAAGCTTTATAACCATTAAAACACAAATTGTCAACATCAGATGTTGAAGTATACAAAGTAAATATCCTTAAACTCTTTAATAAGTTCTCAAGCAGCATTTTTTCCTACTTTGCCTGTCTGTAAATTTCTATTATTATTGATGAAAATATTTTTGATGGTTGATGTGTGTACGGTGAAATCAACAGTTACTCACATTTACTGATTAAAAATTGAATCCTTTCAAGCCCACTTATATGTATATGTAAATTATATAATTATGCACTATTTAGGTACTCTAGATTTAACAGAGATCAGCCTGAATCAAAATCTGGGATGTGAATACCCCTGAAGTTTCTGTCTAATAACACAATGACACAGCATAAAGTGCTATGTCAGGGAAGTTGAACGCACTTCAGATGTATTTTGAGGACAGATTTTTAACCTGAGCTTTCTGATCTGGGGAGGAATAGAAAAGATAGAAAGGAGAAGGAAAGGAAGACGTAGAAAGGAAAGAGAGTCAACAGTTTCTTTTCACCCCCTTGCTATTGCCTGGCCTTTGGAGGTTTGTAAAGAAGACCAGTCTAAAAGGGCCCTATTTTTCAACATTACCAAGGATAAACATATGAGACCTACTGCACATTAGCTTGCTAGGTAAGGTTCTGAATAAATTATAATGCCACTGTAACTGTGAAACACTGTTTCATCCATTAGATTTTGAGAGTGAGAGGAATATCTATATTGCTGTTACCTCTTATTGCTTTCAAAATGAAACAGGTTATTTTGCATATTAGAAATATTTTAACAATATACATTATATAATATTTATGACTTTTCTTATTGATCTGTCCATGAGTGACCTATGGAAGTCTGTCTTTTATATTGTGTGCCTTATTGTGAAAATCCACATTTATAAGTTTAATGATCTAAGAATATATTTAGCGTGAAAGTGGAAGAGGTTTGTGTGGCGAAAAATACTAATAGAATGAGCCTGTGATCCAGTGCATATGGAAATTTAAACAAACTGGAATTGCTGAAATACTCAGATAGCAGAAGGAGAGATAACTAACCACTGTACATTTGAGTCATCTACTAGGTGATGAGTAAAAACGTGTAAAATAAAGAAGTGCAGTTGTTTACACATCATATTTGAAATGGACACCTTGTCAAGCATGGAGTGTTTCATAGAATGTTATTTCAGGAAAATTCCCCTTTGGAATTTTATAAAACACAGGCTTGTTTTCTTTCTGGTTTGTACCACAGAGAACCCCAAGTGTAAAGATTGTACTGTAAATCAGACATTTGGAGTCTATTCTTTCATCCAAGTGCATGGAATTTACACGTGCAACCATTGTTATAAATGGAAATTTCCCTTTCACTTTATTATTGTTCCTCATGATTTTAAACAACATGAAACACTGAAAGCTAAATATTCCCCAACCCAAACTTAGTAAAGACAAGTGCTGAAATATATAAGCATTGTAACAGAAGGAAAAATACTTTGTATAGACAGGAAAAAACTTCAACATAACTTATGAACCAAAATATTAATAAACATTAATCCTATTTTGTAAGTCTTATCAGCAGTTACAGTTACAGGCTTAGATCACCCTGGAGACATCCTCTTGGAATCTTCAGACACTCTGAGAATTTTTTTCAGTGCTCTCTCTTAAACCTTTCAAGTAGTCCTGGGAGAGACGAAGTTTAGCTTAGGAGTCTAATCTTTCGAAACGATTGAGGATGTCTCAGCCTTTTCAGTCCTACAACCCACTGGATCAGAGGACCAGGTAACCTCTTCAGCCTTATCTACACTAGCATTTTTTGGTGAATTCAGCTAACATTGCACTAGCTTGGGCATTTTTTTATAACAATGTCATCTAGACCTTCTCTGAAGAGGGTTGGATGGCATGGTGGTGAAAATGCCTGAGCCTTCTCCACACAAATGCTCTGACCATTGCCACCTCTCTTGAAGCTGTACCTGATGCAGTGCAAGTGGGAGCTTTCCTCCAAAATACTAAAGGTAGACATACCTTTAGCGTGGCTATCAACTCCCCCTCCACACCGCGTGTCACAGCAGCCAAAGAGTATCTCAGTACAATATCAGCTCCAAGCTGAATGTGAAGCCATTAGCCTCCAAATAAAAGATGATTTTATAGAATGGACATCTATAGATTTCCCTGGAGCTGCTATCATCCAAGAGGGATGTTGATAAATTGGAGAGGGTTCAGAGAAGAGCCATGAGAATGATTAAAGGATTGGATAATATACCTTATAGTGAGAGACTCAAAGAGCTCAGTCTGTTAGCTCAACAAAGAGAAGGTTAAGCGGTGCCTTGATTACAGTCTAGAAGTATCTACTTAAGGAATTAATGTTTAATAATGGACTTGGCAGTCCAGCAGCTTTAACATGATTCAATGGCTGAAAGTTGAAGCTAGACAAATTCAGACTTGGCAATAAGGTGTAAATTTTTAACAGTGGGAGGAAATTATTGGAGCAATATATATATATAATATATTTATTTTATATACAATATATATAAAAAATTTTATCAAGGGTTGTGGTGGATTCTTCATCACTGACCATTTTTAAATCAATATCAGCTGTTTTTCTAAAAGATTTGCTGTAGTTATTATTTTGGGGACGTTCTATGACCTGTGTTATACAGGAGGTCAGACTGTGATCACAATGGTCCCTTCTGGCCTTGAAATCTATTAACCTAAATTCAGTAGTACCTCAGTGGAATGCTGTTCCATCAAAACCAGTGCTTACTGTAGCAGCAGATTATCAATTCTGGAGCTCTCTTGTTTTCAAAAATCAGGAGATTTTCTTTATCTAATGTAATTTGTAGCTGTGCAGGCTAGGATAGTGGTACCAAAGTAATCAAATCTCATGATTTTTGGTGCTATCTGTAAAGTTTGAAAGAAATGGTTTTTTTTTCCTTATGCCATAACATTTCAGCTAGCCAAGTCAATTGATTGGTTTGGGTATTTTTTTGTTTTTCTTCTATTAAAACATTAATATTGGCCACTGCTGGAAGAAGAATATGTGATTAGAGGGACAACTGCTTTTATCAAGAATGGTAACACTGACAATACGCTTATTTACTTCAATCTTTCTCCATAATTGATGTTTGTCTTCTCATAGTCAAGCATTTAAAAATTGCCTCTAAGCAGGTTTTGAATAGCTACTGTCCATCTAATTGGCCTGGTTGGTTTCCAATTGAAACATGAGGGGCACCATTCTGTTGCCCATGTGATTCACATAGCACTTCTTGTCCTGGTTTTCCAATAAACTCATGGCAACTTCTTTTTCTGCTCTAAATGTTTTCCATACCTGATGAATGCCAAGCACAGTGGAAGATTGCAGTTGTCTGTTTGCTCAGTAAGTAATGCCATTCCATTTTGATTAGACCTGCATTTTGCTTCATCACTTAGGCCAATATTTTCAAAAATGGGTGCCTAAAGTTAGGGGATTTTCAACAGTGCCCAAAGTAAGTCACTTAGGTGCTTTTGAAAATCCCATCTTTACCTCTGTACTTAGGCACCCATCAAAGCTGAACATTGTAGAAAATCATGCCACTTAGTTCGGAATCTAACAAAGAATATGTTTTTTAAATTCTTGGCTCTGGATGAGTATAGTCCAGTTTTGTTGTGGACCTCACTTTACTTTCTGAGGAATTTGTAAGTGCCTATTAATGGGCTTTAGGTTGGTAGTCTTCTGGCTTCTCTTAGTTATCTTTGTTTTGGAGAAAATTCTGTTTGTTTGCCTATAATTAGAAAGCAAATAAAAAGAATGAGGTGACTTGATTACAGTGCATAAGTAGTTTTAAAAAGAGAAAATACCAGAAATTCAAGGGCTCTTTAGCAAAGAAACACAGAACAAGAGCCAATGGCTGGAAGTTAAATTCAAATTAGAAACAAGCCTCAAGTTACTAACAATGAGAGTGGTTATTCACTGGAACAACCTACCAAAGGAAGTGATGGTTTCTCTATCTCTTGATGACTTCAGATAAACACTGGATGCTTTTCTGGAAGATGTGCTTTAATCAAACGCTAGTTTTTGGGCTCAATACAGGAGTAAATGGATGAAATTCTATGGCCTGTGTTATACAGGCGGTTAAACTAGATGATCTATTGATCCCTTCTGACCTTAAAATCTTTGAAACCATTAATGATATTCTTAATCAGTAATTTTAGTCTCTTACATAAAACTCAGTAAGTCAATTATTTTTCCCTCTTCAGCACATCTATAGTGAAAGACTAGTGTTCAAACTAAATGAATATTTGTCCTGAACACTGTTTTTTAAGCTATTTCCACACTATGAGCTAGGATTGTGATTCCCCGCTCACATAGACATAATTTGTCATCCGGGGTAGTAGACTAAAAATAGTAGTGTAACTACGGTAGCATGGGCAGCGACAGCCACAGCCCAGGCTAGTTGCCTCAGATATGTACCCAAGGGGGGTCTTGTACCCAAGACAGCTAGCCGGTGCCACAGCTGCCCGTGTTACTGTGGTCACACTACTATTTTTAGCCTGCTAGCTCAGATGAGAGCTAGCACGAGGATATCTGTGTGAGCTGCAAATCACACCCCATAGCTTGTAGTGTAGACATAACTTTAATTTTAAAAATCATTAATAATAGTGATAGTGTTTCATAGAACAACATAATGCCATAAATTAGTCCAAAACATTAACTATAATGGCATTTGTATATTTTAAATGTCTCAATAGATAGAAGATGCACTAGATTGTTTTATTTACCTACAATATAGATGCACAGTTTTAACTTCAGCTTTACAAATGCCTCCATCAAATTTTTTCATTGTATAATAAAACTTGAATTGTAAACTTATTTAATCATTTAAAGGATCTAATTTGATAGCAGGTCAAAACAATAAGACAAAATTAATCGAGCTGGTCAAAAAATTAAACCCTATTTTTGCAATAAGAATTCAAAATTTCATAGCAATATAGGGCTGGAAGGGACCTCAAGAGGTCATCTATTGTCCATCCCACCATACAGAGGCAGGATTAAGTATACCTAGACCATCCCTGAGAGGTATTTGTCTAACCTGTTCTTAAAAACCTCCAATAAAGTGGATTCTGAGATATTTCTGATTCTTTTTGTGCCTCTATCACCTCAAATGTATCATCAAAAATCTAATATATGGTAGAATGAAGCCATTTTAGAGGGCCTGATCCTGTAAGCACTTATGCCTGTGAGTAGCTTTACTAGTGTAAGTAATCCTGTGGGCCCAGATCATTGCCTCCTTCAGGAAAATCCATGGGAAGGAGTTGTGGGGGAGGATATCTCGGTGCCAATCCACTCGTGGGAGTAGTATTTGAGGGTTCTGACTTACGTTTCATATATATTTTCCATATCTATCCAGGCTTCAGGTGGAGAGAGACTGTAGCATGCTTGAAAAACAAAAAGCTGGAATAATATCATTGCTGTCAAAACAATATAAAGCTCACTGCTTTTCCTGTGCATCATCACTGCAGAAAGTCCAGAAGAGACTGTCTACTACAGTACTGCTAGTTTTGGGTTTTTTTTAATTATGAGATTTTCTTGTTTTAAACAGATATGCACATTATAGCCTGGTGGCTACCAGACTGTCCTCTAAAGAGACCTAATTATCAGACCCAAACATTTTGCTCATAAGCAGCAGATTGGGTACACACTTACGGGGACACACAACCAGGGGCAGCCATTGCGTTTCTGATGCCCCAACCAGACAGTATCATCCCCAAACAGGGTGAAAAGTGGGGGAGGCTGGAGGCGGGGGATTTAAAAGGCTGTAGGATTGTAGGTTCAGAGAAGTGATGCCAAATGAAGTACATTCTTGCCTTAATGCACTGGTTTTCAATTACATTGATCTGTGAGTAAATGCAAAGGAAAGAGGAGACTCTGAGCTCATGCTCAGAGATGGCGTGAGTAGTGGATGTTTTACAGAGACATGCTAAATGATAAGTAATTTGTTTTTTTGTAGGTGACAGATGAGCCTCCAGGAAACTTGTATCTGTGACTATCCATCCACCCTGGTACCAGTGGGATGCCTCTTTCAAATGCAAATAGCAAACATGCCAGAAGAGTAAATTTAGCTTGATTGAAAGTGTTTGCCAAGTATTTGGGGGCTACCGTTTGTATATCTGTTTAACGCCAGGATATTTCATATCCCCTGAGTGCCATAGCTATGCTGACCTAACCCCTAGTGTAGATGCAGCTAGGTCAATGGAAGAGGGCTTCTGTCAACCTAGCTAATGTTGTTCGAAGAGATGGTGTTCCAACAAGAAATGGAAAAATCCCTTCTGTTGCTATAGATTGTGTCTACGCTACAGGATTATGCCTGCATAGCTACAGCACCATAGCTAGTAGTGTCCCCATAGTATAGAAATGACCTAAATCACTTAGGGCACTTCTGAAATTTTTAAGGTGTGTTTTTGTTTGCGGGATGTGTTTGGTATAGAACTATTCTCAGATATTTCTTTCCAAACTATAAACCCTATAGCTAGCCATAGTCATATGTTATAAGAAGCAAAAATAGAGAAGGATTAATTTTGGGAGACGTGGAGGTTGATAGACATCAGGATTTAGCAGGCATATGGTGTGATTCTTAACATTTTATTTGTTCTTTTGAAAAGCAGCTTTCAAAAATCTTTCAAACCAGTACTAGTTCAAAGAGACTTCACTTAAAATTTGCACCTGCTGAGCATGATTCCTGTTGTTTCCCTTCCCATCTCCCACTCCATATCCCCTGCTACACGCTCAAAAAAATATCTAAATACAGACCTCTTGGGCTGTTAGGAATTTGCTGTTAGGAATTCACTCTTAGGCAGATATTTTGTGGTGCAGTTGTGTTGATTTTCCTTTTAGAATGTAGCAGAATGGCACATACTATAGCAGGTTTCAGAGTAGCAGCCGTGTTAGTCTGTATTCGCAAAAAGAACAGGAGGACTTGTGGCACCTTAGAGACTAACCAATTTATTTGAGCATAAGCTTTCGTGAGCTACAGCTCACTTCATCGGATGCATACTGTGGAAAATACAGAAGATGTTTTTATACACACAGACCATGAAAAAATGGGAGTTTATCACTACAAAAGGTTTTCTCTCCCCCCACCCCACTCTCCTGCTGGTAATAGCTTATCTAAAGTGATCAGTCTCCTTACAATGTGTATGATAATCAAGGTGGGCCATTTCCAGCACAAATCCAGGTTTTCTTCCCACATACTATAGCAGTATCCTTAGTATTAGGGGAGTGCATCTAATAAGTTCCACAGATACAGCGGTTATTTTCTTTACCTGTGTCAATATCAGATTTGTTTTTAATAAAACAACCGCTTTGCCTTGATGCTATCACATATGGCAGCATTAGATGTGTTTGCTGTTTCCACCCTTAGTCCCATAACATTTGCAGCAAAAATCCTGGAACATTCACATTGTGGAGTATTTTTTTCTTTTAAGACTCAAACACTAAAATACATTATAAATATTCAAAAAAAATAAGCTAATGGGATCCAGGTACTCTTTTCCTTTACAATGTAACAATATGTATCCCTATCGTATATCGGAACTTTTCATTTTGTCAAAATACCAAAATATACGCATGAGTTGAATTTGTAAAAAGGAAAAAAAAGAGGAAAAAAAAAGTTGCAACAAAATGAAATATTTATTTTTTAAGGAAGTGTTAAACAACCATTGTTTGTAAATAATAAAAGACTATATTTTCCTCCTCACTATTACTCTTCACCATATCAAGTGTATTTTTGTATGTAAAATATATTGTTTAGATAGTATAGATTTCTCTATTCAAAGAATTCTGTTGAGATAGTATGTTTTACTAATCCTGATACAGTTAATAATCTAGCTCCCAGTGAATGTATTTAAAAAGATAGAATCTATTTTTTGGAGTCCGCAAAGGACTAAAATGTGTGGCTTACAGATGTCTGTTTGCTGAAGGTATTTTAATAAACATTGGTTTTATTTGTGTCTGGCACAGTTTGCAAGTAATTTTGTGGGTGTCAGTTTTCTTTACTGTTGATATTATTTCTGACAAGACGCCTTTCAAAGCATATAATACTTTGAGCTGTTAAATTAATTTAAATAAACTCACCCGTGTTGTACATGAAATAAAAACAACTGAAATGATGTAAATCCGTATTTCTGGAAATGTCTCTCTGCTGTCTTCAGACAACTAACCCTCAGGCTCCCCATTCTTTGTAAAAGATCTACACAGATTTGGCTTTGGACTATGACTGAGCTATCATCAGTAGTAGTGGTTAACTGTGCTGGGCCATGGAACAATGATGGGATTTGTACCTTCCATGCTCTTTTAGCAACAATATGGTAAAAACGTGAATCCTTTGGCGATTTCAGACATCTCAGACCTTCAATACTGTCAACCATTAAATCTGGTCTCTGGTCGCTCCTTTAGCATGTCCTTTGGAGGATCTTCTTCATCCCCTCCAACATTCTGTGGGGGTTCCACAGGGCTCTGTCCTTGGTCCCCTTCTTTTCTACCTCCAAAGCAGCCTGCCTCGTGGGCTGACAGAGAGCCTGGAAGTTAGTGGCTCCTCAGAAGCCCAGGCAACCAGGGCTTCCAAAGTCCCCCACTCTAGGTCAACATGCCCAGTTTCTGAGTCAGGACAGGAGCCAGGCCTTTCAAGCTCCCAGGCTCCCTGTCTGGTGAGTGGTCAGGGCTTTGGGCAGCTCAGGAAGCCTCAGACAAGCTTTAGAAAAGATTGAAAGGAATTATTATTTTGACTTTATCAAAACAAAATTTTGGAATTCCTGTTGCCTGGGCTTCTGAGGAGCCACTAACTTAGGACTTCCAGGCTCTCTGTCAGCCCACGAGGCAGGCTGCTTTGGAGGCAAGTGGGCAAGCTGGCAGAAAACCAGGCAGGTTTCCATTGGAATTTTGTTGGAATTGGCACATTCCTGTGGAATATTTAGATTCTGACACATTGGCATTTTCCAAGGGAACAATCTTCTCTCAGAAAATTTCTGAGCAGCCCTAGTATTACATATTGATTCGGACCAGGTGCTGAGCTGGGGGTCAAGGAAGCATGTGTAAGAATTATGAAAAGAGATTAGGTGCTCAGATGCCATGGTGATGAACATGCTAAAAAAATCTAGATTGGTGCTGAACTGATAAATGTATATGCAGTTAATTTGTTGATCCTAATTGAAACTACCTGGGTCAAAGAACTCTGACTGAGAGACACACTTGCTTTCTTGCTCCCTTTTTCATTCTTTACAAACTTTCTGTCTCTCCTACCCTCTAATTTTTTTCCTCCTCCCAGACTATGGAGTGGTTTATTACTAAGGGGACTGATCCTGCAAGCCCTCATGCCTGGAACCATCATTGACCTTTAATGTGAGTTCTGCACATGTAATGCCAGCAAGGTCAGGCTGTGTCCTTGTTTATTTGGATAAAAAACTGTTCATCCAGAAGAGAAATTTGGGATTCTGTCCTGAAACTTATTCCACACCTCATGAAATCCAGCCTAGGAGCAGTGTTTGTCACATTTCCATGCCATGTCATCAGAAGTGTAAAACAGAGCATCCAGGGAGGCAAACAGTATTAGACTGAGTCCATTTCCAGCAGTAAATCAACAACCCAAGGACCACAGATGAGGACAAGCCCAGGCTGTTGAGGCTGAACCTGTAGTTCTAAAATAATGCAACCTGGATCTATAGTTATACCCATACAAAGCTTTCATCCTGGAGAAGTCCTGTTTTTTACTATATCAAATTATTTAATCCTTATGTTAATTTTAACTGTGGCGTCCACGGAAAATGATGATCTCTCTACAGGGACTTATGAGTTTGTGGTGGATATATGCATGTTAACCACTGTAATTATGAATTGTCTGCATCTCACTAATCATAGAATATCAGGGTTGGAAGGGACCTCAGGAGGACCAATCCCCAACTAAATCATCCCAGCCAGTGCTCTGTCAAGCCTGACCTTAAAAACCTCCAAGGAAGGAGATTCCACCACCTCCCTAGCTAACCCATTCCAGTGCTTCACCACGCTCCTAGTGAAAATGTTTTTCCTAATATCCAACCTAAACCTCCCCCACTGCAACTTGAGACCATTACTCCTTGTTCTGTCATCTGCTACCACTTGAGAACAGTCTAGATCCATCCTCTTTGGAACCCCCTTTCAGGTAGTTGAAAGCAGCTATCAAATCCCCCCTCATTCTTCTCCTCTGCAGACTAAACAATCCCAGTTCCCTCAGCCTCTCCTCATAAGTCGTGCTCCAGCCCCCTAATCATTTTTGTTGCCCTCCGCTGGACACTTCCCAATTTTTTCACATCCTTCTTGTAGTGTGGGGCCCAAAACTGGACACAATACTCCAGATGAGGCCTCACCAATGTCGAATAGAGGGGAACAATCACACCCCTCGATCTGCTGGCAATGCCCCTACTTATACAGCCCAAAATGTTGTTAGCCTTCTTGGCAACAAGGGCACACTGTTGACTCATATCCAGCTTCTCATCCACTGTAACCCCTAGGTCCTTTTCTGCAGAACTGCTGCCTAGCCATTCGGTCCCTAGTCTGTAGCGGTGCATGGGATTCTTCCGTCCTAAGTGCAGGACTCTGCACTTGTCCTTGTTGAACCTCATCAGGTTTCTTTTGGCCTAATGTACACATATGATACAGACATTTTAATTATTTAAAATAGTGTTGAATGTGCATAGTTTAAAGATTTGTAGGCATTATAGCTGTTTTGCCAAAGGGTGAACATATGTAGAGGAGAAAAACTCTCTGAATGCTGCATGTTTATTTGATATCATTAATGAATTTTTAGAAAAATAGACACTTCAGTAACACAAATGTTGCTATTTATGTAATAAAAGAAATTGACCTGGGGATGGGTCTAAAATACAAAGTGGAATATTTTATACTTTGGCTATTTTAGGAAACAAAATATATCCATTCTGAACACCCAATAAATATTAAAAGCAAATGGACTGATGTTAGTGATATTTGAGGTTTTTTCTGGGAAAACTTTAATCAAATCAAACTGTTATGTTCTTTTATGTGTAACCTCTCATGTCACGCATCCTAAGGTACTTTGCAAAATAATGAACTTAACAATGCAAATATTTATGAATACACCAGGTCAAACAAAGCAAAGCCATGGGTTTGAAAGTGCCAGTATCATAACTCAGCAAAGCCAAGAGATTCCAGATGCAAAGGGTGCAGGCACATCTGCAAAGCCCAAAAAAGAGCCAAAGAGAATGTCTGATTTTCACTTTATGCAGTGTTTATGGTGAAGATAAAACTTGTTCTGAACCATTTTTTTATTTATTGGATTTGTTTTCTCCAGGAAAGTTTAATTTAGTTTTGTCTGTTTTCTCAAGTTTGATGCTATTTTGCAAAAAATCTACTATGCATTCACAAATTAGTACAGTGGGGTTTTTTTCCCTGTAAGAAAATGGGCACGTAGTTGGGCTGGATTATTCACTAGTTTCCCCTTTAGGTTTTTATACCTTCCTCTGCATCGTCCACTATCGGAGATTGAATATTACTAGTTGTTCTGGTATATGCAATCCCATAATCTTAAAAGGAAGATTAGGAGCAGCATTGGCAATTCAGTATCACAATACCATATCTTTATGATGGCAAGACACAGTGGTCTGCAAGGCAAATGAGACTAGATGGAGTCTGATGTCAGGAGTAAACCCCTAGCCCTAAAATCACAGTTAAGAACAGATCCACAAGCACTGGGTAGTGGCTTCATTTCTGCTGCTTATTCCCTTTGACTGGAGCTCATCTGGGTGCACAGGGCCAGCATGAGGCCCCCCCCCACTGCTTAAACATCATGCTAATACTAACTGGAGAGCAGTTTCTGCCTTCCTTACATATATTTATACTATTTTTCTTGCATTCATTGAAATTCCTCATGTGTCTTCAGTTGGTGAATTGTTTCACCCAACCCTTCCTTCTCTCACTTCCAGGAAAATAGAAAAAGGTTGGAAGCAAGCAGGATGTATCCCTACTTATTCAGGCCCAACCCCCCCGTCAGCAGTTCTCAAATTGATTTCTTATGAGCTGATAGGAGAGGAGGCAGATGCTGAACTGATCAGCCACCTCCTAACCCAGATTGGAGGGTGGGGTACACACCAGACCAAAGTGGGAAACGGAAAAAACTAGGGGGGCATGTGGGAGATTAGCTGAAGACAAAGAATGAGGCAAGGAAAGAATGGAGATTGCAAGAAGATGAGAACCTCCTGGCAGGGTGTGGAGACAGTGCTTAAGCCCAAGTAGGGGTAGAAGTCTGCCACAGCCCAATTTCATAACAACATGCTGATATATAATTTGCATTTATCCAACTTCTGATGTTCACCAATCAATAGTGATTAAAACTGACCAAATAATTTACAATTAAGTTATTGAATGAATGTCAGGTTTTTTTCTGTTCACTAATTGTAAATGGACAAAATGCAAAATACTCACATTTTCATACTTTGAAATTATTTGCAATTTCCTCTGTGAATTGTTCTTGGGCTGCAGTTTGCTCTCAATCAGCATATTGCAAATATTTGCAGCTCACGCATAGCTAGTTACATTAGTCACCCATCTGGGGAATACAAACAATACCACACAGGAACATAAGAACGGACATACTGGGTCAGACCAATGGGCCATCTACTCCAGTATCCTGTCTTCCAACAGTGGCCAATGCCAGATGCTTCAGAAGGAATTAACTGAACTGAAAATTATTGAGTGATCCATGCCCAGTCGCCCAGGCCTAACTTCTGGCAGTCAGAGGCAAGGGACAACCAGGGCATGGGGTTGGGTCCCTGACCATCTTGGCTAATGGCCATTGATGCACTTATCCTCAATTAACATTTTCTTTTAAACCCAGTTATACTTTTGGCCTTCACAACATCCTCTGGCAATGCGTTCCACAGCTTGATTGTGTGTCATGTGAAGAAGTACTTCCTTATGTTTGTTTTAAACCCACTGCCTATTAATTTC